CTCTGGCGTAGTTTACGTTAATGGGTGTGTTGATATCCAGCCGAAGAGCAATCAACCATAACTTCAGGCGAGCAGGCTCAGAAGTTGGGAATACGTGGAAAGTCACCACTCCCGAATAAGTTCGCGCGAGAGAACGTGATCTTTTAGTTTTAAGTCGGTTTGAACAATCCGGATAAGCGCAAGTAAGTACCATTTTGATTAGCCGTTGTACCTACAATGACTGTGCACTGTGTAAACAATGAGTGACGTATACGCGCGAGAGATCACTTCCGGCGCTTGCGTAAACTACGCCAGAGCGCTTACGCACTGGATGCCTGCGCGCGCTCAAAGACAGTTGGACATAGTGGTGTATTAGAGGTAAAAAATGATATAAATACTGTTCGGTTTCTGGCACAAACCGATCTTTTCGTGTCTTAGGACATCAATGTGTCGTCACGAGCCACAGGGTTTAATTTGGATTTGTCTGTGCATGATTTTGTTACCATTGCCATGCATTATATGACTGATAGACCGCAGTGGTTAAAGTTAAAAATCATCATATGTGTTCTACTGAAGAAACAAAGTCACCTACATCTTGGATGCCCTGGGGGTAAGCAGATAAACATCACATTTTCATTTTTGGGTGAACTATCCCTTTAAGGGTAAGAATTACTACTCTAAGGTACTAATATGTACGGTGTCAAGCTGTTGTACCCCAAAAGGTGCAATTTTGGCCCCTTTTTTTCTGTGTGGCCTGGATGAGTGTAAGATTTCCCGGCCTGAAATTGCGTCCCAGTCCAGCCCTGAACACCACTAATCGTGGGGGAGTTTTGAAATATTTACATTTATGAATGTAAAATTTCAGCAAAAGCAACAAAATATGTATTATATAGGATATCTTTTTATCCTTAAATAACAAACCAAACTTAACAATTTCCCATGAGAGGATCAGTCTTACAGGTAATCTTTGGTGTATCCAACAGAATGCATCATTCCAGAATGTTTGTACCAAATTACACTGAAAAAAACAGGTGTTCAACTGTTTCAATCTCCAAATTGCATAATTGGCATATATTAGAGTCCCCAACATTAAATCTTACTCTTAAAAATTATTTTGCAGGATAAATGTGATTCATAATTTTAAAATGCACCTCTTTACATTTAGGGTTGACAGGAAATGTAAGAAAATTAGTTCTAATTTCAGACACTCTTTTCCTATCATGACAAAATATATAAGATCTCTTTACTGATCCTGGAAAACAACGTTGTAATAGACAATTCCTCAAAAATCTGTTAGAACATTTTTGATCAGCAAAGTTAACATTTTCTATCATCAGATCAGGTATTTTGGGAATTATCGTTGAATATTTTACTTGTTCCTTAACTAATTCAATCATCCGCAATGGTATACTCTTAATTATTTTATCATACATTTTAGAGGAGCAACTTACATTGTATTTACCACAAATATCATCATAACTCAATATATTCCCTAAGTTGTCCATAACATGTGTAAGTGACCATATGCCTTTCTTCCACCAATCATCAATAAACATAGATTTTCTATTCACCAAAATATGCCTGTTATTCCAGATAGACATGTTATGTGGGCTAAAATGATGTTTAAAAATCAGTTTCCAATATAATAGTACTTGTTGATGAAAAGTAGAACATTTTATGGGGAGTTTAGACAATTCAAAATCACATTGTAACAAAAAACTAATACCACCACATTTTTTGAATATAGGAATCTCAAACCAAAATGAAGATTCATTATTTATGAAAGACTGTAACCACTTAAGTTTGATGACCCCATTCATAATATCAAAGTCAATTGTTTTAAGACCTTCTTCATAATCTTTAATCATATCACTCTTCCGTATATAATGACTTCTCATTTTCCATATGAAATCAAAATTTAACACATTTATTGCCTTTATCTTTTTAGCAGACGCTGCTAAGGAAAAACATGGATAGATGAATCTAGAAAGACTTTCTACTTTCGTTAATAAGATTCTACCAAAGATCGTTAGGTCTCTCTGTAACCAATTGTTCATTATTAATCTACATTTCTCTAGATTTTTATCAATATTTAAGTTTTCTAAATTATCTGTTTTCTTAGATAACCAAATCCCTAAGTATTTAATTTAATTTTTTACTGGGATATTGTACAATGATATACTAGGGTGATCATGGATGGCCAATAGCTCGCATTTTGACATATTCAACCGTAAACCTGAAGCTTTTGGAAAAAATCGTTATAGACTGGAGTGCTAAAGGAATTTGCTGTTCATTTCTTAGAAAAAGAGTCGTATCATCAGCAAATTGACTGATAATAAAATGATTCCCTTCTAAGTTGATGGCCGATATGTTGCCCATTTTGATTAAAATAGATAACATTTCTGCAACCATGATAAAAAGTAAAGGTGAACAACCACACCCTTGTCTAATACCTCTTTGACCAAGAATCGTGAACATGTACCTTGAGTAAGAGCTACAGAGCTGTTAATGTCTTTATAGAGCATTCTAACAATATTGATACATTTTGGACCAAAACCAAAGTGTTTAAGAGTTTGAAAAATAAAAGAGTGTTCCACCATGTCAAAGGCCTTATAGAAATCCAAAAATAAAATAAACCCATCTTCTTCAATTAAATGACCATATTCAATCAAATAAAAAATTAACCTAATATTATTATGAATTGATCTATCCTTTAAAAATCCCGAATAATTTGTGATATTCCAGTTTTCAATCTAGAAGCCAAAGTCATAGTAAACACTTTGTAATCTGTATTTAGAAGTGTTATGGGGCGTAAGTTATCTAATAATCTCTTATCTTTACCTGGTTTTGGTAACAAAATTATTGACCAAACTTTAATGAAATGGTACACGATAGACATTAACAGAATAACTCAATGAGATCATGTGATAATAGTCATTTTATTTTTTTTAAAACATTTAAAAGCAACACATCTTTCAATGTGTAACACTAATCATTTTTAAATGTAATTTTACATTTAAATATGTTCATTTTCTAATAGAAAAGTATGTCAACAGACAAAAAAAAGCATCTCAGTATGGCCGCTGCCATCTTGAGTAAATGATGCCATTTGGAGCCCGAGTCTGCGCAAATGGCGCAGAAAAAAATAATTTTTACCTTATTGTAAAGTGTTACCTACTATTGTTGATAATCATCTTATGCTGTCATTGTTTCTAAATATTGAGAAATTTTATTTTTTGTTTGTTTGTATGTTTGTTTTATTGTGTTTGTATAGTTTTTTTTTTTGTTGTTTAGAAGTTTTTTTTGAGAAACAACTGCTCTGTTCTAACGGCAGCTGCAGTGCCACGATGACTTTTATTCAGAAGGCAGGGTTTCCTTCGATAGAGCTGCCATATTGACCGTTGCATTTTTGCCCATTCAAAACTATACGAGTAACAGGTCTTGGGTATTCTATAATGTGCGTCCCAAATCACATACTTATGCACTATTCTATGACGTTTTGTAGTATAAACAGTGCGAGTAGTGTGTTCACACTGAAAATTCCAATAAGAAAAAGTGCACTTTAAATACCCGGATGTTGGACACTTCATGCACTCAACTGTTGCAGCTTAAATTACGTGGAGAAGGGGGATGGGCTATCAGACTCTGATTATGAATGACAAAATAACCTTTATATAATTCATACACTACATGGTTAAGTACATAGTGCAGAAGTACATAGTGTATAAGTGCATAGTGTATAGTGCGTCATTTGGGACACGAGTCTAACACTTGATGGCTGCTCTGTCAATTCTTCGTCATCAGTTAGGAACCTAGGTGTGCTATTTGATAGCAATCTTTCCTTTGAAAGCCACGTTTCTAGCATTTGTAAAACCACATTTTTCCATCTTAAAAATACATCTAAATTACAACCTATGCTCTCAATGTCAAATGCAGAAACGTTAATTCATGCGTTCATGACCTCGAGGTTAGATTATTGTAATGCTTTATTGAGTGGTTGCTCTGCGCGCTTAATAAACTCCAGAATGGTCCAAAATGCAGCAGCTAGAGTTTTTACTAGAACCAGGAAGTATGACCATGTTGGCCCGGTTCTGTCAACTCTGCACTGGCTCCCTATTGAACAACGAATACATTTGAAAATCTTGCTAATTACTTATAAAGCCCTGAATGGTTTACAGAATAACTCAATGAGATCATGTGATAATAGTCATTTTATTTTTTTAAAAACATTTAAAAGCAACACATCTTTCAATGTGTAACACTAATCATTTTTAAATGTAATTTTACATTTAAATATGTTCATTTTCTAATAGAAAAGTATGTCAACAGACAAAAAAAAGCATCTCAGTATGGCCGCTGCCATCTTGAGTAAATGATGCCATTTGGAGCCCGAGTCTGCGCAAATGGCGCAGAAAAAAATAATTTTTACCTTATTGTAAAGTGTTACCTACTATTGTTGATAATCATCTTATGCTGTCATTGTTTCTAAATATTGAGAAATTTTATTTTTTGTTTGTTTGTATGTTTGTTTTATTGTGTTTGTATAGTTTTTTTTTTTGTTGTTTAGAAGTTTTTTTTGAGAAACAACTGCTCTGTTCTAACGGCAGCTGCAGTGCCACGATGACTTTTATTCAGAAGGCAGGGTTTCCTTCGATAGAGCTGCCATATTGACCGTTGCATTTTTGCCCATTCAAAACTATACGAGTAACAGGTCTTGGGTATTCTATAATGTGCGTCCCAAATCACATACTTATGCACTATTCTATGACGTTTTGTAGTATAAACAGTGCGAGTAGTGTGTTCACACTGAAAATTCCAATAAGAAAAAGTGCACTTTAAATACCCGGATGTTGGACACTTCATGCACTCAACTGTTGCAGCTTAAATTACGTGGAGAAGGGGGATGGGCTATCAGACTCTGATTATGAATGACAAAATAACCTTTATATAATTCATACACTACATGGTTAAGTACATAGTGCAGAAGTACATAGTGTATAAGTGCATAGTGTATAGTGCGTCATTTGGGACACGAGTCTAACACTTGATGGCTGCTCTGTCAATTCTTCGTCATCAGTTAGGAACCTAGGTGTGCTATTTGATAGCAATCTTTCCTTTGAAAGCCACGTTTCTAGCATTTGTAAAACCACATTTTTCCATCTTAAAAATACATCTAAATTACAACCTATGCTCTCAATGTCAAATGCAGAAACGTTAATTCATGCGTTCATGACCTCGAGGTTAGATTATTGTAATGCTTTATTGAGTGGTTGCTCTGCGCGCTTAATAAACTCCAGAATGGTCCAAAATGCAGCAGCTAGAGTTTTTACTAGAACCAGGAAGTATGACCATGTTGGCCCGGTTCTGTCAACTCTGCACTGGCTCCCTATTGAACAACGAATACATTTGAAAATCTTGCTAATTACTTATAAAGCCCTGAATGGTTTAGCACCTCAGTACTTGAGTGAGTTCTTATCACATTATAGTCCTTCACGTCCGCTGCCATCTCAAAACTCTGACCATTTGATAATACCTAGAATATCAAAATCAGCTGCAGGTGGCAGATCCTTTTCCTATCTAGCGCCCAAACTCTGGAACATAGTGTTGTTCAGGAGGCAGACACACTCTGTCAGTTTAAAAGACCCATCTCTTTAACCTGGCATACACATAACACACTATCACATTACTATAATTCAAATCCGTCAAAGGATTGTTAGGCTGCATTAGTTAGGTCAACCGGAACCAGGAACACTTCCCACTTCCTATTCATGGAAAGCTATAGCTATATTATTAAGTCGAAGGTATTTAGTTATCCATTTCACTCTCATGACATCTAAACCCATTCAACCAGCTTTGAATATAAAGGAATAGTTCACCCAAAAATGAAATTTTAAACACCCTCAGTCCATCCAAAATGTAGATGAGTTTGTTTCTTCATCAGAACAGATTTGGAGAAATTTGTTACAAGATTACATCACTTGCTCACCAATGGATCCTCTGCAGTGAATGGGTGCCGTCAAGAGTCCAATCAGCTGATAAAAACATCACAATAATTCACAAGTAATTCATATGACTTCAGTCCAGCAACAGTTTGAAGTTAAAAATGTCTTAAAGATTACTTTGTTTCTTACAAACACATAGCTTTTTTGCTTCTCAATATGTTAATTGATCGACTGGAGTCACGTGGATTACTGTGATGTATTGAGCACAATAAGTGAGTACATTTAAAAGTTTTTTTTTAATGAGTACATATAAATGAATGAATAAATTGTGAATTGAATTAGTGAGTTAATAATTAACCCTTCTCAATACATAAGAGTTCTGAAATATTTTGCCCTGTAAATAAGTTGTTAAAAAAAAAACCACCAGAGACCCGAAAATCCATAGTATAGTAAAGTTAGTTTGTGTTTTCATTTTGGTGCAAATGTTATGGACCCTGCAATTCAGAAAAACAAAGGACAACAACATTGTAGTGCTGAGTTGTAGTTCATCACAAAAATGCTGAGTGAAATAGTGACCTTTATTTAAAAACACATAAGTGAAATATAACAGAAAACAAAAACAATTTATCTATACAATTGTATAAAATGTTTATTATATTATAAAGATGGAAAAATATTTCCTACTCTGTCATACTGGCACATCTTTAACAGTAGAGGGCAGCACTGACTAACCAAAGGGGCCATTCCACCAAATAAAGACCAAAATACATCAAATATATAATTCCTTTGCATATATTAGTCTTTATAGATGACATTTAAATAGTATTTGAATTAGTAAAAATTGTGAACTTAATTAGTGAGTTAACTTAATACAAAGGGCTATAAAATATTTTGCATTGCAAGAGGCCTAAAATCCACAGTGTAGTAAAGTTACCTTGTATTTTCCCTCCATAAATACTCTGTACAAGAAAGTGCATTTAAGTGATGCCAATATAAAGAATATAAGTTCTCTTTATTAAAGAGTAAAACAGTCCAAAATAATAAAAAATATCTCCAGAAGAGCCTCTGCTTTTTGGTGTTCTTAAAACATTAAAAACCGCTAGTCTTCACTCTTGCTGCCTTCATCCTAAAGGGCACAAAAAATGTTTTATTCCATCAGTTAATTTTCTTAAGGGCACAATATGTGGTAAGACTGCATTCCTTTATGTTAGTGATTGATATGTTCTCATACTTCAGGCATGCAACTCTCCTCTGTGTCCAAGGTTGTGCTGGGTCAGCGCAGATTGATTTTCCTTTCTCAGTTTGGAAGCTGCAATGATGTAAAATACAGTGAACTCTAGCACCAGAGACAACATTATCAGCAGCCTATCTATCAAATCAGTGTCAACACAGCTTATGCATGTGGAATTGCAAATTCACATGATCCTCCTTCTCAACCCCCCAAAATATATAAAGAATACATTATATTATAATAATATTCTATATATTTAAATGTTTTTCTTATATATTCACACATTACACTAATGTGAACACACTCTCAGAATATGCACCCTATAGGAGTAAATAAGATACAAAAGTGTAAATCTTGAAATGGTACTGCTCCAGTGACCGCTTTTGAACCTTTTTTTTCTGAGTGCACACACTCATTCTGTATTATTCTCTATTATATTATCTAAAACAATACTGAAGGCAGCAAAATAACACAGGTGGATGTATAGGGATTTGGTAACAATAGGCAATGCGTTAGGATATAATGAGTTACCAATAAACAAATATTTATACTTTTGTATTCATTTTTCAAAAATTTTGACACGTGTCAAATTTGCAAAATATAAATTATATAGATATGCATGTATTTGTATATGTATAGATAGATAGATATATGCACTTTCAACACTATATGCACTTTATAATACATTTGTAACTTAAAAAAGTGTGTGTGTGTGTATATATATATATATATATATATATATTTTTTGTTAAAGTTTGTCTTCATTTTAAAAAAAGCATAAAAAATGATTTATAGATATGTCATTTGTTCAACATTTCTTTTAAATTTTTTTCTAAATGATAAAAATGTATACAAATTTATATTATATATATATATTATTATATTTGTGCGAGTATGTAAAGGTTGCTTAATTTACATAAATTACATCAAACATGTATGAAAAAATATGACTTACATTATTGCTGCAAGATCACAGCTGCCAGTCATGTTTTGGATAATGTAGCCTTTCAGAATTCCACAGCGTCGAGGGTGTTTCGTGTAACGAAGACAGCAACTCACTGTGAAACAGGAGGGAAAGTGTTATTCTGATGTTCACACATTTGCAGGCTGTGTAAAACGTTCCACTATTGTCTAAAATAAAAATAACAATGGTGAACTGTATTATATCTGCTGTAACAGTAACTGGATCAGAAAGACTTTTACATGCATTGGTTTATCAGACTGCTAATACAAAGGGTTCCAGTATCCATTCAGCTAGGAAAGTCCCAACTGAACACACAATCCATCTTTTCTTATACTAAATCTGTGCCCATGAGCACAAAACACAATCTTTATTTTTAAAGTGAAAATACTACTCCATGCAATCAGTGTGTTAATTCACACAAAATGTCTCAAATAACAGCATGCAGGCAGAACAGTGTTTTAAAAGATCTCTTTACAAGTCTGTTTCACATATTTTGTAAAAAGCACATTCACTCACCTGCATCTGTCTCCACAACAAAAGCGATGAGTATGAGGAAACTCAAAGAGTAGATTTTAATGCAAGTCATCTTTGGATCTTTGGAAGTGCTCCAGTATCTCATAAAGTATTTAAGTGTTGTTAAGAGAGTGGTAATCCACACAGAAATAGTTCTGAAGAGCTTTGGTTGGACTTCACTGATGAACACTCAATTTAAACCTTCATTTGGGATTTCCCCCACCTTTTGGAATTTATGTTCACTCCCCAAATGAAACTCTTCAGATGTGGATACACTGCGGTCGGGGCAGGTGTGCGAGACAGTTGAACTGTAATCTACTTCCTGTTTCCATAACCACATGCCTCTGATTAATGTGTCTGATTTTAAACAAGCAAAGAGTCAAATATTATTCATATGATTCAAAATACTTATTTAAACACTAATTTACAAAAGAATGAATTAATTTAAAACATTTTATACAAATTTTCTCATTTTAGACATGCCTTTAGGAATATTTTGTAATACACACCTGTGATTATAAATACATTATAAATACAATCAATCAACCGACTGATTCATGAATTCAAGAATCCGTAAATGAAATATTCATAGATTAAAAAAGGATTTGTATACATCTGTACGTCTGAAAAGGACATTTCTAAATTATTTACGTTTTAGATGCTATCAGTGTTGATAGTGTTGACAGTGTAAACATCAGTGTTGTTGAAGTGTCTATGCAAACTTAAGTAAATGTATGTGGTAAGCATTTACAGTTATCACACCCTATTTTACATAAATTATATGTCAGTTAATATTTTATCTGGGCAATTAGAGACTTCCGCTGAACGTGTCACTTGATTACACTTATATAAAGGATTTACACTTATATAAAGGCGGATATTTTGAAAAATTTCTTCTTTTTTTTTGTCCATACAATTACAAATAGGATCTAGTATTGTCTTGGACCCTAACTTACTCACAAATGTGAGTAAATGATGACAGAATTGTCATTTTTGGGTAAACTGTCCCTTTAAGGAACAAACACACTTATTGGAATACCTGTTTTTATTATTTAACTTGGATTAACAAAACTTAACAATAGTTTGAAAGGAGATTCAGGCTCAGATTTCAAGTGTCGCTTGTGCTTTTAATCCTTTTCACCCTGATCAACTCGAAATATGCCTAGTTTAAAGTGGTTCTAGTCTTACATTGAGATATTTGCCTTGATGAAAAGCTTTGTGCGGTTCATTTTCTTCATTGCAGTTCTGCTGCTCTGTGCAAGATATCGGTTGTCATGCTAACTTCTAATATTATTCAAATAGAGAATAAATTCATCAGTAAAAGTCAAATGAATTACATGTGAGTGAATAAAGCAAATTAAATACAGTGTTGCATGAATGAATCTGCAAGAGAACAAGAGAAAGTAGAGGACAGAAGTGATGGTGCTGATGAAGAAAACATGATAGATTTCTGTTATAAATGGGTGGATATTATTTTACTCCAGGTGTCACCAATTCCATCAACTCTAGTTGGTGTAAAATGTGCAGAAATGAATGATTAACTCATTAAAAATAGCACTGGCTAATTTTGGATGTGCCCTTTAAATATTTTTAATAGTGAAAAAAGTAAAATCAAAATGTACAATTTTGCATCTGGGCTTAAAGTAGTTTGTCCCTTCTTTCTTTTCCAGCTATTATATGTATTTTGCTTACGCAGAAGTCTAAAATTAGGAAAGTGCTAAATTTAGATGCCCTTCAGAGCTATAAATAGCACCCAGAAAAACATTTCAATAATGTTCTGCATGTGAGAACAATGATAAGTTCAGAAGTTTAGGTATTACGTAGATGTGACAGGATCAAAAATGCTGATGAAATAGAATGTAGAAATACAATTCTGCATTTACATATAGAACAAGTCAAAATAACATTCAAATATTTGTTTGCCATAAGGTCATTTTGAGGGGTTTTGACTATTTTTGTAGAGCTTTAAGCTATTTTTAAGTATTTTAAGTTTGTATGCTTATTATTTGTGAAACAAGTTCCTATATTTATATTTGTTTATATTATATTTATATGGTATATATTTATATAACCTGCATTAATTTGAATACATTTTTAAATGTATTATGCTAAATATATAATACATATTTATTGCCATTAAATGTATTTTAGCCATTTAAAAATAAAGTGCAAACTGCATGATTCATGCAATCAACTGAACACTAAAAATGAATAAACGTGATTTATAAGTATTTATATATACTTATTAATATGACATTTATCTCGATGTTCGCCTAACCACGTGAGTACTTGAATAACCTTCTAAAATCTTAAAATGCCCTTTGCACTAAAGGTTCTTTATAGCAGAAAATGGTTCTTCAGATCATTAAAATGTTCTTCACACCAAGACAAAATTGGTTCTTTTAAACAGACAAGTAGACAGCAACACTGTGAAGAAGGCATTTTGCAGCACACATAATCTTGCATGATTAGTGTTTATCTTTGAGGAAATAACTTGAATACCAAGTTTATTTCCATGACAGTTGTTTGAATGCCACACATTTTTGCAACATGGCTAACTCATTTGATAACTTCTCATAAAATGGTTCGAGTCACACAGATCACTTGCGCAGATGCCCTTCCCTCCTTGAACTTTAACTTCAATTTAAGAATAAATTATATTTAGAGGTAACCAGAGCTTCAGAAAGAATCTGATCAACAATTTGCTTGCATCCTTATCCTTTAATTTATTCCTGTGATGCAAAGCTGAATTTTCATCAGCCATTACTCCAGTGTCACATGATCCTTCAGAAATCATTCTAATATGCTGATTTAATATCAAACCGTTTTTGCTGCTTAATGTTTTTTTTTTTTGGAACCTGTGATACTTTTTTCAGGATTCTTTGATGAATTAAAAGTTAAAAAGAACAGTATTTATTCAAAATAGAAATCTTTTGTAACAGCACTGTATACTTTTTAGTCATAATACATACAAAATGAGAGTTCCAGCTACAGTCATTTTGAACACAACAGCCCACATATTTGGGTGTTTGTGTAAATTCTTACATGAAAGGACTTGCATGACTCCTGTCCGATAACCCTGATGCTTTCATACTGATCTCATATATTTTTAACACATGAAATTCCATGCTTATACTGGCACTGTAGTATCTGTGCATAATTCAAATTGTGAGATTATTCTCTTGTTGCAACTATGAACGATTGCTACTATGGCCGTCACTTATAATGAAATCCTCTGTTCTGAGAATGAGAAAAATTCCCTCCTAACTTCCCTAAAAACTGTCCGCAATAACCACTTCATTTGGATAGCTGAGCATCAAATATGACAACATGCACAAAACAAGGGGATTTAATTTCTAAATTAGATTCGGCGTAAAGAAATGACGCATTGGTCACTTTCATTTAAATGTTGTTTCATATGCAAACATTCAATTTAGGCTAATGCTCGCAACAATTCAGTGAGAACGAAACAACAGACTATTTCTTAAGTTCAAAAAAGCCAAACAACATAGAAATATGTTACCTGCCACATGCACTTTTTTCCATGTCATGTGATAGCATTGTGTGAGGCCCAGGTGGAAATGCGTGTCATTTTTTACTTAAAAACTTCCTCTCCACAGCAAGCTGCCTGCTAAATCAAGAACCACTGTGACCGGATGAGTGAAGCAGATAGACTCATGATCGATTCATTTTGATTGAAAAACTTTCCAAATATGACGTGTTTCCAGAGAGCAGTTGAGGCTAATTATGCAAAATGGACATGTGTGAAATGATGTGTGAGGATTAAAATGCAGATCATTAAAAAAAAAAATCATTTTCCAAAACATGACGTGTTTCCAGAGAGCAGTTGAGGTTAATTATATTTGCGAAAATATGCAAAATGTGCAGGTGTGACCTTTAGGTAAAATCATATCACACTGTCAGAAAGCATAAAAATAACGTTGAATCTAAAACAATAAGCTCAATCACAAAAAAAAACAATAACACAGGGACACATTTGAAAATGTATAGAAAACACTTTCCTTTACATGATACAGAACAGGAAATGTTACAGTAACAATATAGGTCCTTTTAAAATATTTCATTTCCATTTCATTCTTAAGTCTTTTTAAATAACTTAACATTTATTGTTTTTAAATGTACGTCTTTTCCTTTTGACAATGTTCCCAGCGATTGCAACATTTTCCACAGCTTAAACTATGCCAAATATTTGAAGGCAGTCAAATGACTTGCTTTAGCTAATAACTGCCATGTGACATTTAATGGGAAAACAATTTGTTTCAGCCGTTACAGTAGCTCAGCCTTTTGCACGTCTGAACTTTATTCACCTGAAGTGTTCTGCAATTCAGAGAAACAAGTTGTCTCCGACACAGCCTGAAAATCCAGTTCACAAATCATTTAAGTCAAAAGTCAGAGAAAAGTATCGTTCATCGTCATATCACTTTCGGTGCACACAGCAGAGAAATCATTTAAATAGCTTAGACGGAACACTGGTGCTCAAAGTGCTACCGTTCCCACAATAGTTCGACGTGTACAAGTCAACATTCAAACACGGCAGGTGAAAAGTTCAAACAAAAATGAACGAACAAATCATATATAAGAATCTGTAAATCCTGGATAAGCACTTTTGGTGCTTTGATCCATTCAGACTATAGAATGGCTGAATGAACCTGAATTTGAACTGCTACTGACACAAAAGGCCACTTCATTCTTAAGAAAGAGGATATATGTTTGTGGAACGTGGTTGGCGGTTTAAGAAAACCACTTGGTATGCCTTCAGCAAGCCTGGTCTTGCACATTTTTACAAAAAAAGCAACTATTGAGTGCCATAGCTACTCAAGTTGCAACTGAATGTTATGACTAGTTCATGTTTATTTATCTACATACTGGGGTAATTACATCCAAACTTATCAAAATACATCTAAAAGAGGCTCTTTAGCCCTGGTCCGAGAGGTGTGTGGTCATTTTGTACAGACAGTTCCTCAAAAAAAAAAAAAACACATACATAATGTTTTATAATGAATAATACATTTTCCAGATTTGTTAAGCTAAAACAAATATAAACATAGATTTTCTCTCATTTAAAATGGCATGATCTGAAGTCCTACATTAAGTAGGTAACACTGTTTTGCTCTGCCGTCCTAGGCCCATTCCCAAGTCACTTGGAGAGGGTCACATGACCCCTCTTGTCCTGGCAGTGTAAAAAATCGGAAAGTGCAGTCTTTCCTAGATAGAGCCGTTTATATCCTCATTGCTTTTCCTATTGAAATCGAATGGAAATGAGATGGAGAGGCTGAAAACCTATACTAAAAATAGCACAAAAACATTAGGTCATAGCTGTCAAACTGGGGCAGAGCATGACATAATTACAAGGTTTGGGCCAGTAAGGGTCTCTCATTATAGGGATGTTTGTGCGAATGTATTATAATGCTGGCTCAGGTGTCAGTCAACAGCAACCTCTCGCTGCTTTCATCCTTCTGAATTTCCCTCGTCATTTTAAGCCCTTTATTACGGTGTCTCTGAATGGCTTTCCAGATACAACACAGCGCTCCTCCCCTATAGTGGGAAATAAATTAAATATTTTTTATTAATTGCAGACAACTTAAGCTAGCAGAATAACTACAGGTGTACACTTCTGGGCCAAAAAAATGGGCCAAACCGGAAAATGGCTAAACTCTAAGCTTCAAATGGACTTAACCACAAATTACTTGCAAGAATTTGGCACATGCATTCCTTAAAAAGCCATTGCTGTCTCAGAAAAGCATCAAAGACAGAACAAAGATGAATGCATCTCTACCACAGTGAAGCATGGAGGAAGATGTGTTATGATGTGGGGAGCCTTTTCAGCTGCTGGTACTCGTGAGCTGCTTCACTGTGAAAAGTCAAGTACTGCTTTGGAGTATGAAAGAATACTGAAGAATTGAAAAGTAGTCTAAAGAGAAATGATCAGATGTTATTTTTCAACAAGAAAAAATGCTCCTGCCTACACTGCAAAGACAACCAAGAAGTGGCTTGAGAACAAGTCCATCAGGCTCATGTTTTGGCCTGGTCAGAGTCCAGATTTGAACCCCATAAAGAATATTTGGTCTCTCATTAAACTCCAACTAACTGAGAGAACATTTTTCAGCTACTCGTGAACAGTCTGAAGCCATCAATATTGAGTGGAACAACACTGACTCATCTTCCTGTAAAAATTAGTGTGCAAGTTTACCCACACAGCTTAAACATTTAAAGAAAACAAAGGGAAAAGCTGTCTAGCACTAAATTACTTTATCTACAGTATTTGCGAAGTTCTTGCTAATTTCCAGACCAGTGATTTGTGGTTAAAATGGTAAAACATGCACAATTAAAAGTACCATTTTGGCTTGGCCCATTTTTATTTTTTTTGTAGTTTACATATATAAATGATGAATATCAAATGTATATAAAGTCAATATAAGTCTATATAAAGTTGAAATATCCTTTATTATAAATATATTTTACAATAGATTAGATTTAAATAAATAAATGAAAAAAAAAACAGTCAAAGGTTTGTGGTCAGTAAGATTTTTTTTGAAAGAAATGAAAACTTTTATTCAGCAAGGGTGCATTAAACTGATCAAAAGTCAGAGTAAAAACATATAATGTTACTAAAGATTTCAAATAAATGTTGTTCCTTTAAACTTTCTATTCATTAAAGAATCCTGAAAAAAGGTCACAAATTTAAGCACAACAGTTTTCAACATTGATAAAATGTTAAAAAGAAATGTTTTGCATCATGTGACACTGAAGACTGCAGTAATGTCTGCTTTAAAAAACATTAAAATAGAAAGTTCCTTTGAATTGTAATAATTTTCCATAATATTACTGTTTTTACTGTATTTTTCATCAAATAAATGCAGTCTTAGTGAGTATAACTTTGACTTCTTTCAAAAACACACCAAATTTTTGAACTGTAGTGTATATAAATAGTAGAAATGTTTAATATTACAAATATTATATATAATTTCATTTATTCAAAATGGTTCCAGTTATTTATTATATTTAATATTATTATAGAAAACAATAATAATAGGTCCAGTTATTTATTTAATTTTATTATACTGTATTTATTCCATTTAAAGTGGCTCACCTGACTAAAGAATTAGGGCCACATTATGCAAAGGAAGAGTATACACAATCAATCACTCACTTGGACATTTACAAATTAAGCCCTCACCTAAGCCTCAGGCAGCGCAGGTCTTCTTTTGTAACATCGCAAAGAACGTCGTTGAGCGTAAAATCTTCTTCAACAAACTTGTCAGACACAGACAGAAACCACAAGAACTTGGAATGAATCTTCAGTTTCTTTATTTATGGAAATTTAAAAAAGTGAGTCATTTTCTAATCGTGGGAAAGACACGATATAGACAGTGTTCAGTGTGATATGTTTCACCTTGTCTATGGTGTCAGATTTGGCACCCTGCTCCTTCAGCCAATCAGTGAGCTTCTTGTCAGGCTCGGGATGTGCGGCAATGTGAAATATAGAGGGGGTTGAGGGCATCTCTGTTGAGGGCAAAGGACGGATGTAGGAATATTAAAGCACAGATGCTAAGATCTATCTAGACAGCATTTCAAGACTCACATTCGCATTTGAAATGTTACTTATTGGGTTGTCATTTCGAAAGTTGGTAGGTAGGTAACAGACATTACGGCGGCTCACTAGTTTTCTTTTAACAGAACTTGTATTTGTTTTGTCCTATAAACTGGTTGCAAACAACTCTAAAGGTCAGAACAGGACACTGGAAATCAGAAAGAGGTGAGTTGACACTTTCTCTATTACCTTAGCATACAGACATGCATGTGATTTCAGTGTAAATAAAGACAGAGTGAATGGCTTATAAGTGAGTCTAAATCAATAAATGTGTGTGATTTAGTTGCACAACTAACCTGCAGAAGGCTGTTGTCTGATCCTGATAAGCTCAATGTCGTGTACCCGCTGTTGGAGAGTTTGTCTCAGTACCTGCTGATATTCTCTCTCCTTCTGTACCAGTTCTTCAAGCAGCCTGAAGAGGGCGACATAACATTGAAACACTCTCCCTCAAACTACTGAAGCATTAAGATCACATTTCACTGACTAAATCCAACAAGAAAAGACAAAACGTCATAAAACTATTAAGCGCTACATTCAGAATCCAAAATTAAAACTGGAGGCTGTTTTATCTTGTATATAATGTGCAAAGAGTAACAATGACCTGTGCTGTTTTTCACAAAAATACAAAGTAAAACAAGTAAAATACACACTACAGTTCAGTAAGTTTATTTTGAGAAATTAAGTATTAATTTACTGTATTATTCAGAAAAGTGTCAAGTGTCATCAAAAGTGACAAAGACATTTCTGTTTAAAGTAAATGCTGTTCTTTTGTACTTTTTATTTATCAAATATTCTTGAAAATATTGAACTGTCATGTATATTTGTAGTAAATAATGTGAAACACAGATCCATGACTGGGAACAAATATTTAGTATTTTTAGCTAATATTTTGAGTATTTTTTTCCATTCACTCACCATTGGAAAGGGTGGAAAAAGCGTATTTTGTGTACTGTTTATATTTAACTGCCTTAAATAGAATGATGTTAAGCGTTTTTTTTTTTAAGGAATCATAGTGTGTACCTGCTGGTTTCCTGTTTGAGGCGTCCAAGCTGGGCTCCCAGCGGGTGCTGTGGCCGCTGAACCTCATGGGATATGACTGAACTGAGGGTGCTGACTCCAGACGTGAGGGCTTGATCTTCCTGGGTCGTACGTGCCACTGATCCAAAGTCCCCATCATCCTCTTCATCAACTTCATCTGCGTCCTTATCTGCACCCTCACTTTCCGATGCAGGCCCGAAATGCGTCAGTAGCTCTAGAAGAGAGACAGATGCAAAATGAATCACACAGTTTCTTTGATGTTCCTCAGAACAACAAGTCCTCTGGTTTCTATTTTTCCTTCCCTCTCTCTCTCTCTCACACACACACACACACACACACACACACACACACACACACACACACACACATACACACACACACACCTGGAATTAAAATCGTAACAGCTGCCTGTACAGCCCGTCTGATGATGTTGTCCATGGCAAACATCCAGTGTGGTTTAATGTGGTGGTTCCTCAACACTTTATTTACCTGAAACAATCAGTGATGAAAGAGGAATTTTAATCTCATCACTCTCAAACCAAACACAGGAGCATTTATTTGAAAAATAATTTTTTATAACATTATAAATGTCTTTACTGCGTGCTTCCTGAATAAAAGTATTCATTTATTTATAAAAAAAAAATATCTTCCTTATCTCAAACTTATTAATGGTACTGTATGTCCAACATCGGTATTTAAGGTTTTAAAAATGTATATTGCAGCATAAATAGGATTTTATCAATAGTGGATCATGCCTGGGTAGGAAACTGAGATTGTATACTGTACAGTAGCAATCGAAAACAATACTATTTATACTGCAGTCAACTCACAGAGTCCTGGAAACCAAACAGAACCAGCTGGATCTGGTTGATTGATGTGCTGTCGAAGTCCAGGTCCAGCTTGAGTTTTGAGATAGTCATTGCCATGACACGTCGCTCAGGGCAACGTATAAAGTCCCGTAAGATGCAGATGATCTGTTTAATGTGGTCCACTGACAACTTCAGCTCCTCCTGACCCTAAAAGACAAGGACACAATCCTCATTGTATGATTCAGTCCATACACCACTAACACACACAATCAACTACGCAGGGATACACACCTGGATGTGGTTCTCCATGAGGTTGGACGTCACCTTATCCTGGTCCTCATTGAGGACCTTGTAGAGTATGGCACGTCTTTCACTGTCTTTCTTCAGCAGGAAGAGGCCAGAGTCGCTGTTCTCAGAGGAGGCTGGAGAGCTGCGGTCTTCTGCTGTAGGACTCTCATCTGGAACACTGAATCACACACATTTCACACTGATTCACTAAGAAAATATGAATCTAAATAGCTTCATGCAGATGTAACATTATGTACAATACAATATTGTTCAAAAGTTTGGAGTCGTTAGGACTTTTTCAATGTTTCGGAAAGATGTCCCTTATGCTCACCAAGGCTGTATATATATATAAAATAATAATAATATAATAAATACATAAAATATATTAAATATTATTATTTAAAAATTGTATATATTCCTGTGATGGCAAAGATCAATTTTCAGCATCATTACTTCAGAAATAATTCTAATATGCTGATTTGCTGCTCAAGAAACATTTCTTATCAATCTGGAGAGCTGCGGTCTTCTGCTGTAGGACTCTCATCTGGAACACTGAATCACACACATTTCACACTGATTCACTAAGAAAATATGAATCTAAATAGCTTCATGCAGATGTAACATTATGTACAATACAATATTGTTCAAAAGTTTGGAGTCGTTAGGACTTTTTCAATGTTTCGGAAAGATGTCCCTTATGCTCACCAAGGCTGCATTTATTTAATCAATAATACAGTAAACATTTCTTATCAATGTTGAAAACGGTTGTGCTGTTATTTTTCAGGATTATTTGATGAACAAATTTCAAAAGAATATCATTTATTTGATGTAGAAATCTGCAGATACAATATAGTAGTCATTCAGTACCATGTTTTATCATCTGATGCCATCACTGTATCATGTACCTTTTTATATTTTATTTTTTTAAGGCAGCACTATCAATAAAAAAAATCACAATCTCTGATTGGATTTTACAAAACAAAACAAATATTAAATTAAAGCAGAAAGGTGGTTATATTAAGGTGTGTTTCACTCATAGGTGATCTCTCATACTTGTTGAGCTTTTAAAGGTCAGTTTAGGCAAATTAACTAACTTTGAATTTAACCGTGTTAAACATTTAATTCACTCAAGTATCAGTGTTAACTTTAGCAGCCAAAGTATATATAAATCTGGAGTGGTGATTAAAAAACATGATTTCATTTGAGGAAAGAGGAAACGTGGTTAATGTGTGACAGGCAGCCCTGTGATTTGGTGTGTGTGCATTGAAACCGAGGTCAAGTGGTCTGTAAAGTCTTCATGGGATTATTTTATGAACAACCAGAGAGTACCTGCTGTAAAAGGCATTATCTCATTACACACACGTACATACACCTGCCCAGAAACCACGGCCCAGCACACCTGTCTCCTCATTCCACCGCGTTAATTAAACAGCGTTTCCAAGGAGTTGACTAGCTGTCAGGACAGGCCTCAGCGCTTCATGCCCAGGAAGTTGATTTACTGTTGGTCTGAGAGCTGAAGCGGCCGCGGATTCTCAAGCTCCGTAAACACAGTCACGTCATTAACATTCCAGATGCTAATCCAACGCTCACATAAGCACATACATATACACACTTTCAGCTATGGCTGACCACTGCGTGACCTAAACTCGTCTGGACCGGTTAGCGGACACTTGTTAGTCTTGATGAGGGCTCTGTATTCACCTTAGTGCTCATCTTCTGAGCTCACCTGAGGAAGTTTGAGTTGGGTGGTTTGATGAGGTTCTCTGAGCTAGAGCGTTTTTTCTTCTCAAAGAACACATCTTGTTTGGAGTCGCAGTCGGGAGACACAGAGCCTGGTTCACTGCTGCTGCTCCCTGCGGCCTCCGTCTGCAGCTGTACTGGTAATGAAACACTGCGGATGTAGTCTAAAGGGAGGAAAACACAAACACGCATGGTCATGTGTTTACACACACATATGCACTTAAAGACAATCATTCAGACAGACTAAAGTTTCACAGCATTTTTGGCTTTTATTTCCCCCCTGAAGTTTAAATCTTTGAAAAAATATGAACACGAAATATCTTTTTTTTTTTATATATAAAAGTCAAGTGTTATATTTTTAATTAATTTTACACATTTTATTTTTTATAATTAAACATTATATTAGAGCTGCCAATGCAAAATGTTCATTTTCTGTTATTAATTATAAAAAAAGAACAGTAAATCATGCCTCCTATAGGCCAAAAATAGACTTAAGGTCAATGATATGGAAATAAAACCAACAATATATTCACTTCTAAAGTCGCATTTTGTAATGCCTGTTCAGTGAGAAACAATAAATACCTTAAATAAATGTCTTAAATATATTTTCATTAGGGTTTTTAAATCAGATAATATTGTTATATGAGATTAATTAAGTGGATTAATTAAAACAATAAAACCTTTTAATTGACAGCCCCAATTTAATTTAACCTGCTAGCATTCCACTGTACCAACCACAGTACACTGCGTGTTTTACGCGTTTTAGACAATTTTTACAGGAATGCTAAGGGGTTAATTTAATATACTATGGCCTGGTTTCACGGACAGGGCTTAGACTAAGCCAGGATTAGGCCATAGTTCAATTAAGACATTTAAGTAATTTTTCATAAACGTGCCTTAGAAAACACATTACTGGTGTGCATCTTGAGCCAAAACAAAGGCACTGATATATTTTAAGATCAGTCAGTGCAAGTTTCTTTCAGTTGACACAGCTCAGGCTTACATTTTAGTCTGGGACTAGGCTTAGGCCTTGTCTGTGAAACCTGTCTGGTAAATATTTCTATCACATATATAATAGCACAATATGGTAACATTTTACAATAAGATTCGACTTGTTATTTGTCAGCTACAACAGTGAATATGAACTAACAATGAAAAATACTTTTAAAGCATTAATTAATCTAAGTTAATGTTAATTTCAACATTTACGAATACATTATTAAAATCAAAAGTTGTATTTGTTCATATAATGGACCTGAGCTAACAAGAACTAGCAATGAACAGTTTTATTAAATAATGTTATCAAAGATTAATAAATACTGAAACAAATGTATTGTTCAACTAAACTAACATTAACTAATGGAACCTTATTGTAAAGTGTTACCCACAATGTTACAGATTTTTTAACTCTTCCAAAAAGCTTCCACAGTAAGTTAAAACACTGGAACCAAATTAATAGTAAACCACAGAGAAGAGAAGGCAAATCAAAAATCAAGAGAATGAAGAAAAAGATATGACACAAAGAACCAATGAGAGCACACAAGGAGCATACACTTCAGCACCATCACCAGTAACCAGCAAGACACCAATGATTATGAGCTTATGATCCTCAAGAACACACAAGGATACATAGATGGTGGATACAAACCTTGCCACACTGTTACACAGAGAATCCAAGCCAAAGCAGCCGATTGGATGGCATTAAGGAAGAAGGAGATATTGATTTATTAATATTTAGCCTGTACTATAATGTCTAATGAACAAAACTGGGAATACACCAGGCCTATAAAGCAATTTCTTTGCTCCAAATCCTAACGAGTTGTCTCTGGAGGCATCACATGTGTATTTCCAGATACAAACGCTGTTCCAAATTATACCTGAACCTAAAAGGAGACTTGAATGTTGATTATAAACTACTGTTCAAAAGTTTAGGGTCAGTAAGATTTTTTTTTAAAGAAATTAATACTTTTCAGCAAAGATGCATTAAATTAATCTAAAGTGACCGTAAATACATTTAAAATGTTACAAAAGATTTATATTTCAAACAAATGCTGTTCTTTTGAACTTTCTATTCATCAAATAATCCTGAAAAAAGTTTTATCACTGCATTCACAAAAATATTTGGCAGCACAACTGTTTCAATATTACATTTCTTGTGCAGCAAATCAGCATATTAGAATGATTTCAGAAGGATCATGTGACACTGAAAACTGGAGTAATGATGCTGAAAATTCAGCTTTGCATCACAGGAATACATTACATTTAAAAAAAATATTAAAATAAAAAAGGTTATTTTAAATTCACAATATTACAGTTTTTACTGCATTTTTAGCCTTGGTGAGCATCAGAGACTTCTTTCAGAAACATTAAAAAACCTTACTGACCCCAAACTTTTAAATGGAAATGCAAATATATAACTTCTATTTAATTTGAAAACAAAAAAAATTAATAAAAATTAATGTAATTAAAAAGTTTAACCAAATACATTAAAAATGTCACCAAATATCTGTGTGGGTTGTATATTTTTACACTTACTAGAATGTCAAGCCATTAGCTTAGCAACACGCTAACATCAAACTATTGTACGATTCTGTGTAAAAAGCTATTTAGGTTGCTCACTATGTAGAGAGTTTTTCAAATCAATAAGTTTGGATAGCAGTAAGCAGCTCACTAGAAATTGGATCAGAGCTTGTCACTCACTAACATTCCTCTGACAATGTCAAAGAGAAATCGTGAACGTTTTCTGAGAAAGCAGAGTGCATGTTTGTGTGAAACACCACACCCTGAGAATGCTTTTCATGGACAGCGGGATAGCTGACATGTGCGGCTGGATGGAAACCATTTGTGAAGGTAGTGTGAGGTCTTATTGTTGATTTTCCCAGGTCCTGTTGTTCCTACTCATCTTTTGTGTAAGTTCAATCTGGACTGTAACCGGCCAGCTGAGGGCAGTTTGGACCTGTTGCGAGTATCCTAGACAGTGGCGAGATGCAGGCATGCTGGGCTATGGGTTGGGGGGAGTTTGTTCGCAGCTCTGAGAGTTTGCCTGCGAAAAATGTTCTGTGTGCTCTCACAAGGCCCTAAATGCCTTACACACCATGGATGTGACCAGAAGGATCAACCCAGGTCTCATTATTATCACAGCTGCAGAAAGCATGTTAGACTTGGTCAGAGACATTACCTGAAGGTTTGAAAGCGATCTTGTTCTTTTTGCCTTTAATGTTTTGACGCAGGAATGGATCCTTGAGCAGGTCCCCACCCGTTGCTCGTTTATTCGGGTCAGGCTCAAAGCATGCAAGAATGAAGGATTTGGCCTCTGACGAAAGAGACTCTGGGATCTCTGGATGGATCTTAAACATGCCCACCTGGTACAAAGAGAACAGAAATTAATGGAGGAGATGATTTTGATTAAAGGGGTCATATGATGTGATTTAAATTTTTCCTTTCTCTTTGGAGTGTTACAAGCTCTTGGTGCGTAAAGAAAATCTGTAAAGTTGCAAAGACTAAAGTCTCAAATCCAAAGAGATATTCTTTATAAAAGTTAAGAGTCAACCACGCCTACCTAAAACGGCTCGTTCTAACACGCCCCCACATGTCTACGTCACGATGTGGAAAGATTTGCATAACGCCGCCCAAATGTTCACGCAAAGAAAGAAGGCGTAACTTTTATTCTCGCTGTAGTATTGTTGTTGCCGCCGCCGCCATGTTGTGAAGATGCTGTGTGTTTCGTTGTGAAAGCGAAACTACTTTGTTTGGCCTTCCAAAAGAGGACACAACTAGAAATCAGTGGTTAAGTTGTATTTACAACACTGGTCCGGAACAGTTCAACCCAAATATTCAGATGTGTGCAGCGCATTTTACGGAGGATGAGGACTGTTTCCTGTAGGGGTGCAACGGTTCAACTAACTCACGGTTCAGTTTGTATCACGGTTTTAGAGTCACGGTTTCAGTACGGTTCGGTATGTGCTATGTTTAGGGAAAAAACTATATTGTCAAATAAAAATAAAGAAAACAAGAATAAATAATCTAACTACAAGCAACAGCACAAATAAATAAACAGTGAAAAAATATACAAATAAAATAAACAGTGCTTTTCAGTTTTTTTTAGGTCTAACATAGTTTTTAGGTACAGAAATAGAATAAATCAAATGTAAAATAACATTGCATATTTGACTGTATAAATTAAAGATTAATCCTTATTAAAGTTACAAAAGTTATTCAATCAAGAGCAGTGAGTGATTTCTTTGTACTCACCAAGACAGGCATTTTGACATAATTTTTGAGTGAATTTGTCCATTCAAACACAATACTTCACAGAGAGCTTAAAGCAGCACTATGTAACTTTTAGGCGCTCTAGCGGTTCATAAACAGAACTGCACACATCCCGAGAAAAGAACATTCCAACCGGAGCTACTTCTCTAAGTTTATGTCTATGGCGATTCACGCAGGTATGTGTTACTCCGCAGCGGTGATGACCCGACCAGGCTACATTTAGCAAATTTTGAACACAGAAAAAGTTACATAGTGCTGCTTTAATATTTGCTCGCGTTCTGAGATGCGGGTTCACACGCTTCGGATGAGCGTCCACACAGATCTTCTCACTGCGCAGTAGTTTAAACACAGATAGCAACGTGTGCTGTTCACCTGCGCTATCAACTATCAACACCGGCATAAATGACAGTTATTCCAGCATAAAGCACTCGCATTGATAAAAGAGTGACTTGTTACTTGTTTTATTGTTTTTTTTCTCTCTCATCGCTCTTATTGTAATGTATTGGGAAGCCAGAATTTGTATCCATCAACAGAAACATAC